ATTGTAGCCTGAGTCTGGTTTAACTGGTCTTCCCCTACTTCTGGAAGGGGGAAATTCCCCCTCTACCCTTCTTGCATCCTTATGGCTGGACTAACTAATTGACACAGGACCAGATTAGCAAGAGAAAAATCAGTTTAATACATGTGCACTGCAGATCATGAATGATGCCCTCAGAAATGATGTACCAGCCAGCTTTTCATACTTTTCAGACCAAGGGACAGTAAATTTGTGAGGAAATGACAGGACAATGATACTTAGGTGTAGGTGCTCATTAGTAAGGACTCTACACAGTTGGGCTTGCATAGTAAATTAATAAAGGAGCGACAAGGGTTTGTGTAGGCTTTTTGGCCTGGATTTCTTAGCTCTGATGATGAGGGTGTCTCGCCAGCCCTGCTGGAGCAAGGACACCTTCACAGGGGAGGTTTGTTTCTGCATTCACAGAGGCAGGAAGGGATCGATGGGCCCTTCTTGCACTGACTGTTTATCAAGTAATTTAAAATCAAAGTAACCAATGAGCCATTGTGGGATATTTGAGGGGAGCCTTCCCTGGGCCCCCACACTGCCAAGTGAAAGTGGTCAGTGCTGTGGGGAGCCAAGTGTTGCAGGTTATGTGGGGTCTTCGATTCCACACCTATAACATTAATAATAGCTTATAATTATAATAATTATTATTATAATTATAATAAATTATAATAATGGCTTCCTTGTGGAGGGGTGAGCTTCAGTTAATGCACATCAGCTTTTGCAGCTTACACAGTGTGTGCTTGGTAACTGTTGGCTGCTGCTGTTACGCTGCAGAAATGCTGGGCGGTGAGATCTGAGAGGGCAGACACAGGGAGTGTGCCTCAGCTGAGATCCACACCTTTGAGCAGGTTGACCTTTAAAGGCTCTGGAGTTCCTCGAGATTAGAGCATGTACCTGACCTGCATTCCCCTCCCGTCTCATTTCTTCCTTTCCCTGCTTCCTGCATCCTCCATCACAAAGGATTGCCACCTGGAAAGTTTTCCCTTCTTAATGTGTCCTTCGAACATATGTTTCCTCATCTGAATTGCCCTGTACAGTAGCTTTGCAATCCTTAGGTAGGTAGCCTCCTCAGCAGCTTACTCTGCCTCTTACAACTGCAAGTGTAATTAATAATGGAGACATTAATGTGAAATAGAGGCCATAATCCCTAACTGAAAAATTGTTTGGCTCAAATAGAAGGTACATTTATAAAGCTAGCCCAGTGTCAGAGTACCAAACCGTTGTACAGGTGCTCAGTTAGCATTGCTGCCTTCCCCTGACCTTCCATTTCTTTGTCTCTCTTATTGTGCATCTCTATCCATATTTTGGCCTCTTTCTCTCATCTGGAAAATTGTAATAACCCCTTTACTGGTATTCCTTATCCTAATTTCTCCTCTCTCCTACTCCAAATGAATTCTCACTAGGTTACAAATTTGTGAATAAATATTTTGTTTTTAAAAAAATGAAGAAGAAGAAAGAACTAGAGAATCTGTTCTTGGCAATATGATGGCCTACACATTCTGAAACTCTTCCATTATAAAACATCTGAAAGTAATACAGTATTTTTTAAATCTAGGGAAGTAAGCTAACTCTGGGGATACTAAAACCCTTTAGGCATCTCTGGATATGGGGGTCCAAGGAGGAGTACTGAGATATAATTACAGCTTTTAGTACAAAGGGACGAAAAGATAGAGAGTATGAAAGAGCATGGAATGAGTGAGATGTTAGAGTGTCTGAGGTTACAATGATGGACACAATTGAGGAGAGACAATATTCAAGATATAAGGACTAGAGTGTTGGGAAATGATATAGAAGAAGCCTAAAGACCAAGTGGGATAAATTAAAAGAAACCTATACTTTGACATTACATTTGCACTCAAGATTGATATCCCAACAATGACGAGAGCCAAAAGATAGCAAAATAATGTCATAAGAAAAAGTAGTTGTCCACCTAGAATTTTTAATGAAATAACAACATTTTATATGAAAAAAGTATGAAAATATATACTATCAAAAGATTCTCACAAAAAAAAAGGTCTCAGTATAGCTTTAAGAAATACTTGAAAATGGCCTCCAAAAATCCATCTGAGGTACAGAAAGCAGTAATGAATAAAGCTAATAGAAAGCTTTAGAGTAAATCTGAACAGACACTGGCAATTTATAGAAAAATAATGATGTCCCTTTTAGTAGGTTTTTTTGTGTGTGTGTTTTTTTTTTAAGTAAAGTAATAAATGCCATCATCTAAGGTTGGAGGCAGATGATCAATATTAAAATATTTCAAGATTCTGGTATTTTTAAGAAGAAATAAAACAATCAATTATCTTTGGACTTTGAGTATTCATATTAGAAATGACCATGAAAGCATGGTCTAGTGCATAAAATGGGAACTTTTGATCCAGCTCATTAACACCTTTTCAAAATAGACAACCAGATTTGTTAAAAATACATTTACCTACCAACTTCCTACCTCCTTATAAACAAAGCCTTTGAATAGGATACAATGGGATTCTAATCAATAATCTCCCTTATTATGTTCATTATGTAACTACAGTTAACAACTCTTTCCCCAATTGTATATACTTAATATGTGCTATGCAATCAGTTTTATCATTCTTCAGTCACCATTGTGAGCAACAATGCCCCTCATTCATTGGTGTTGAGCCCATGTGTTTAACACAAGGAGCCTCACCAAGGGAGCAAAGGCCATAGAGGCAGTGTGTGTGTGTGTGTGTGTGTGTGTGTGTGTGTGTGTGTGTGTACACCTGTGTGTCTGCAAGTGTGGCTTTAAAATCAGGGCAGTTGAACCAGTCCCCAGAGGACCTTTCCCAGCCTGCTCGAATGCTTACTGGTCCCTTTCTTCCCTGAATTCCACTCATTTATGCCCATACCATCTCATCTATAAAATAGAGGTAGTAATAGTACCTTACTTTTAGAAATATGGTGTGGATTCAGTGGGTGAATACATGTAAAGTCATGTAGAGCAGTGCTTTTATAGCACACTGGCTATATCCTGTTGAGCACTTCTAAGTAATCTTGTTAGGAGGATTGGTTGCTTCCTTTAAGTTTAAACAATGAAATTATTATTAACCAAAAACAAGATTAAGTTTGACATTTCTATGGGAGATGGAATGCAATACAGGGTTAAAGGTCATTGATTAGCATTGGTCACCCCTGGGTGTCTTAAATCACGTTTCAGTTGGAGATATCTTTGGTGTAGGGATGACAAAGCTGTTACAGATTTTTGTGACCATGTGCATGGATTCATAGAGAGGAGATTTCTACTTGAATAGTAGAAAAGTAGATTTATAGGTCTTAGAACTGAAGAAATGCTACTATACTAGTTTTAGGGCTTTGGAGAAAGCTTTTGAAATAGAGGTCCTATATTTCTCTTATAGGAAACAAAAATGGTGTATTCCTAAATTCCTTTCCAGCATTAGCCCCAGTGCTTTGCCTTAAGTTATATGGATTGTCTAAGCAGCTGAATTCCCAAGAGTTTGAGGGACCGGTCAGAGTTCCCCAGTTAGGAGTAGTGGCTGAGAGGGTAAGCTGAAGGCAAGGCCCAGGTCCCAGCTGGTCTGCTTTCGAGTCAGTTGCCTCTGCCACGCTGTGGCTCTGCTCTGCAGCAACACCTGCAGCCTGAGGTCACTTGTACCTCACTGTCCGCTTTGTCAGCATTGACATGCATTGAAAATAGCCAGTATTTGTGATATATGATTCTATTTATGGTAGTCAGTTTTTTCCTTATAAAGGAGGTTATGGAAATTTTATGATAATTTATTTTTGAATGCACACTTTCAATCCTTTCATAGGGTAAGCAGATGGGACAAAATGTTTTAATTTCCCCTGAAAACCTGCAGAGCGGATGTTTTGAGTCCCTTTGCCTCCAGGTGGCTAGCTCAGCATGGTGTTGGCAAGAGCACTGTGTTCCGTAGGTGAATATTCACCCACTTTCCAAATCTAAGAATTCCTGAGTCTTCAGTCAAAGATTTAAAGGGTTTAAATCTTAAAAATAATGTACCTTCTAATTTAATCAGGCACCCAAGTTAAAGACAGTCTAAAGGCAGCCAAATCGTTGATAAAGGAATAGATAGGCATGTTTAGAAAAATAGCATGTCTATCCAAATTAAAATTAAGAATAAATAAACGTTTTTGCTAATCTGTGCTTTTGCTTTGGGACAAACTTGGCGGGGGGGGGGAAGAATTATATAGCTCAATAGAAAAATTCTACAGACTTTGTAGTCCAGGAAAATAGAAGGAAAAGGAATAGAAAGGTCTCTGAAAGAAAATTTCATTTGGAAAAATGTTATGAGAATGCCAGCTTTTGTGAATTCTAAAGATGAAGGATACCTGTTCTCAGGTCATTCACAGTCTCCTGAAAGAGAAACTTGAGACAAGAAATTATGTTACAGAGCGGCAAACCCTGCAGCAGAGGTATTGCAGATTGGCGTAGGATTAATAACAAAGTTATAATCTGGTTGGTGGATGTGTGGGGAAATATGCCAAGAGGAGTCCTTTTATATCCTGAGGCTTTTTTCTTATGCTCCCTAGAAACTTCACCAAAACCATAAGGCTGTGGCACATGAGCCCGTTGAACATTCTCTTGGACTAATATGTATTTCCAGTGTGCTCTTTTGCTGTCCCAGTCTTTAAGTCCTCTCTGCTAGCGTGCACACTGGAGAGCCATGCCCTCTGGGTTCAGATCCCTGCTTCCTCGTCCTTGTGGTGTAATCATTAGAGATTCCTTCTCTGTGCTTCAATTTTGCTAAAAGCAAGAGGACTAGTACCTGCCTCTCCGGATTATTGTGATGACTAAATTCGATCACTCATGGAAAACATTTTTAGAATACTGCCTGTTACCTGGTAAAGCTCAAGAATGTTTTACTTCTCATTATTTGTTCTGGTAGCTAATAAACCAAGAGCTTGTTGATCATTTAGGTTCTCTTTCCAAAATACTAATTTCTGTCAAATAAAATTTTCCTTTTTTTTTTTCTTTCTAGCTCCACGAGGAAAGCGGGGATGGAAAACCTTTTATGCTGTACTAAAGGGAACAATTCTTTATCTGCAAAAGGTAAAAATTAATTTATTTATCAAAACTAAAATGACGGACAAGTTACCCAAAAGACGCTCACTTTGTACAAGCATCCAAAAGACGGTTTAATTGATGTTTAGATTTATTTTTAGGTTTTTGTTTTGTTTCTAGTGAAATAATTATTTTGGAGATTATACACTTTACTTTGAGGGACAAAACAATGGGAAATATGCAGGTGGTTGTTGAAAGTAGGAGATAGCCATGCTTTTAGGTGGTCATTTGTCATGTAGTGTCTTTATTTCCCTATGGATTCAACACAGCTGCCAGTTTATAAGTCAACTGCTTTGGCCTCCTCCAGAGCAGCATGTGTGTACATGCTGGGTCCGCATTAGTCCTTTCAACTAGTTCTGCTTCTGTAGGGAACAACCCTTTGTAATTAATTTTCACATATCACAGCTGTTTCCCCTGCATAAGTCCTATTCTTTTGGCTTACTTTTTCATTGTCTCTAAAATCTCTATAAGGGACATGGCTGCCCTTGGCAAAACCATTTCAATGAATACCTCGTCACAGGATTTCCACCCACTCCATCCCAGGGTGAGCCTGGGAAGAGAGACAAATACTCTTGCATTCAACATTTGACAGAAGAGATGTAAAGAGAGATGCTGTTTCCGAGTCACCACGTTTTCCTATTTCATTGTCCTCTCTCCCATGAAGTGAATGGAGTTGAGTTGGACTCATGCAGATATAGAAGAGAAAGAATTAAGTAAGGACAAGAGAAAGTAGACTTTGTAAACCTTGAAGCTTCAGCATCAGTTTGGATTAGAGCTCCAAAATCAGATTGCATCTCCATAGCTGTGGTACCTCTGCTCTGGAGTGTGGCAAATGTGGATCTGGGGAAAGTTGGGTGAAATTCCCCTTATACATTGAGACATAGGACACAAAGGAAATGATACACTGGTGTAAGAGAGTGCAAAGTAGAGCTATAGCCTAATATCTACCAGCTTGTTATTTCCTTTTGAATCTGTTAAGAATGTAAACATTGCTACAAAGGATCCACTTAGGATGAGAACGAGTCTGAAAAGGGTAGTCTTGTTTGAGACCCAGTCTCCTTCATTGTTGTTGCTGCTGCTGCTGCTGCTGTTGCTGCTGCTGCTGTTGTTGTTGTTGTTAATGCCTGTTAAGAGAAAAGGAAAAGGAAAATTCGAAAAAAAATGTGACAAGTGCTTGAAATCTCATCATAGTAACCAATCAATATGTGTTCCCAGAAACTTTACACAGATCCTAGAGACTAGCTCATCAGTCAGTGAGAGCCTGATCACAGCAGGCTGGGTTCTTAAATGGATATATCTAGTCTGATTTTTTTAATTAGTTTCTTCCTGGTCTGTAAGATTTAAAAAGCAAAAAGGCACTACAGATATGAAGATGTATGCGTCTGGAAATGCCAAGCACCTGTGAAGGTCACAGGTGCTGTCTGCTGTAAATGGACCGTTGCGATCTTAAGCTACTCACCAGACACAGTAGCCGTAGGTACTTAGACTTCTCCTTTGAGTTAGCTCTGAGCTGTAGAGTGTGTAGCAGGCTCAGGATTGCTGCAGGTTGTGTCCTACAAAGGCTCCTGATGTTGCCTTGCTGGCTATTCTTTAACCTTGCTGAGTCTGCCATCAACACACAATGGCAGCTGCTGCACACACGGTAAGCTATAGGATGCAATGTATGCTGTGTTGCCAGGTGATTTGGGGTTTGTACAGTTTTGAGTTTATTTCCTCACATAACCATTCAGAATTCATTACATGTCAAGTACTATGCTATGCTGAATACTGGGCTTCCAGAGATTACTAAGGCCCAATCTCTGCCTGTAGAGCTCACAAAACAAGAGGAGAAATAGGTAAATTGAACATTCATCACACAATGAGATAAATTAATGGAGGAATGAAAAAGTCTTACTGAATAGGGCTCCCTAATTAAGCTTGCACAGGTCAGAGAATGCCTCCCTGAGAGATGAATACATCTTGAGCTGAGCAGGCATTTGCCAGGCGGTGATCCAAAGCACTTAGCCAGAGAGGCAGACAGAGAATATGGCAGATCGAAGAATGGCAAGACAGCTTTTCACATTTGGATTATAGGATGAATGGGGAATAGCAAGTGTTAGAAACATGAAAATTACATTTCAAATAACTAGTATATCATGAAGACGAAAGAGGTAGTGTCCACTTTACAAAAGGAACAGTGTTATTCCCTCAAGGAATTTCAGACTCCTTGCCTGTGAGTTGTGTGCTGCTCCCACTGACACTCAGGTACTCAAAGGATTCAGGCAGCATCATACTCCCAGGCCAGGCAGCCCCTCCCACAGAACCTGCTGGGTAAGGCGTGTCCTAGGAGTGCACACTGCCCTCCCCTCTGTGCTCTCGATGCCAGTAGTAACATTTCTGGGATTCAAGTATGGCTGAGAAAAAAGTGTCACCTTTCTCTCCTTCCCCACTTTCACCGGTTCTCTCTTATTTGAGTCAGGGGTTGCCAGGGCTGACCAGCAGACCTGAGTGACGGATGAATGGATTACCTGACACAACAATGTTTGCTGTGAAAGAGAGGCTAAGGGACTGTCTTGCTAAAAGAACCAGGTGCTTCAATTGCCTGCCTCATTAGGCTTTTATTGTAGCAGCAGTTTGAGATAAAGTTGGTCTTTTAGATACAATCAGCAGTGTAAGTAATATTGGGAGGCACATGTGTTTGTAACGTCCTTTAAGCAAGGACACCGAAAAGATTAAGCATAAGGAATCCAGTACACACCCAGGGGTCTGCTTGTACACAGACTTGTTTGGAAAGGTCATGGAATAATTAGGGGTACCACCTTCAACACTCCCCTAAGTCGGAATTCCAATAAACAGGGCAGGCAGCCTTCCGCATACTTCCTTTTCCTCAGAATGTCCTCCTTACAAACTTTCCAACCAAGTCTCGTGCTTCCCCATAAGAGGTAATGAGAAAGGGCCTACTGTTCCTCTAGCCCAGTGGTGGGCAAACTCATTAGTCAATAGAGCTGCAGTTTGCTGACCACTGCTCTAGCCCAAGACTAGCTTAATTCAGTTTGGCAACGTCTTTAGTCAGCATACTATGGGTAGAGCCTATGCCAGGTGTGGAGATACAGAGATAATAGGACCTAGCATTTGTTCTGAAAGGTCTCGCTAGAACACTTACGTTTCACTACCATTCCCACCTTTTCATGACTTAACAGTGACTTAGCTGAACATTGACCAACAAACTGCTGTTCTGATGGAGGGCCCTAACAGGAAGCAAATCAATAATGAATGTGCATATTAGGTTAGGACTCTGCCAGTTCTGCAGAATGTACACCCTGAGATTGGATTGTGAGCGAGATATAGTCCCTAAAGATTTCAACAAATAAAAGACATTTCAGTGCAGTTTGATGTGTGCTACAAAGAGGGCAGGATGCTGTGGAAACACATGGGGAAGAACACGTACCTGGGCCTCAGAGAAGCGGGGAAGATCATGGAAGAATCCATGAAGAAAATGATATCTAAACCTACACTGGAAAGACAGGTCGAAGCGAGTCGTCCAGAGGACCCAGGCAGGAGAAATCTGTGTGGGTGCCTGTTGGGTGGCATCTCAGCACATTCAGGGAGCTGCCAGCTCAGCGGCTGAAGGGCGTCCTGGGCGGATTGGGAGGAGCCCAGAAGGCCGTGTTTAAAAGTTGAGGTTTTATCTTGGAGCATTGTGAAGCTACCAACGTGTCTTTAATGGGGGGTGAGACCAGATCAGCTGGAACTCTGGTAGGGGTAGCGCGAAGGGAGAACACAGCCTAAGTGAAGAGTTGGGTTTGCAGTGTTGAATTCGAGGTGTCTGTGAAATAATAAATTGATCTGTCCAGTAAGCAACTGTTATCAGATCTGAACCTGAGGAGGGAGTCTAGAAATATAGATATGGAGAATCCGCAAAAAAGTCATTGGTAATTTCAGCCATGGAGTAGATGATGTCACTCAGTTTATGGAGTGAGGAGAATATGGGGCGGGGGAGCCAGTGGCAGGAGAGGAACAGACAGTGAAGGAGCCTGAACAGTGAGTGCCCAGAGCCAGGACGAAAAGACAGAGAGGGGGATAGAGAGGGCAGACAGACATGACAAATATCAAGAGATGATAGAATGTTACATGTTGTAAAATGTTTAAGTAAGATAATCGGAAAGTGCCTCTTGCTTTCAGCAACAAGGATATTATTGTGAAGCAGCTGCAATAAATGCTGGGCATGGCAGTCAGGTGGGTGTGAGTTAAAGACAGAGAACACAGACAACTGCTTTCAAAAGGCTTGACTAGTTTCCACTCGGATCTTCTCTCGGCTCCCTCCTTTCTGCTGCCCCCCATTATGTGACTTTTTCAAATGACAGATCCATAAAGTCTATCTCATTTCGGCTGAACCTCCTTTCTTTCCTATTATGATTTTTTTCTAAAAAGTGTGTGGAAACATATCTGGAGGGACACAGATGTGTTTCTTCCTTTCCCCTGGACAGTTTCTGACATTATCCAAGCTCTTGTCTTGCTTCTGCAGGTTACACGCACTCTTCCTCAGCATTGCCTCATTTCTCCTTCTGGCCTTCTTGCTATGTTACTTAGTCACATTTACCTTGACTTCCAAGCAAACAGCAGATCTACAGAGTATCACAAAAGTAATGTCAGAACCATGTACAAAAGGTCACATTGGGAGCAATGTAGGAAATAATATGGCATCAACCAAAACAAGCTTGAGTTTGGAGTGTAGATGAGAAGATAGCCTTATGTGATGAATGGCTAATGACATGATTTAAACCAAATGTATTGGTGAGAACTGGAAAGAGCCTATGGTGAGTTGACTAAATTTGGGTGAATAACTGATTCCAGTTTCTAGAACCTTCTTCAGTAGAACACTATAGGGCATTTATGATAGAGTGGTTTTGTCTGTCACCCAGCTAAGTAAGAATGCACTCCTAGTCTTACTTGGTCCTAATACCTACAGTTCCTTGAGCCCCCAGGCTCACGCCTAAGAAATTTATACC